AGGACAGGACCGGTTTGAGCTGTTTCTGTGGTTGTCAATCTTCCCTTTTCGTTGTTCCTTCCTCAGTGTTGAGGGAACTAGGGCAACCTGGTCTAGGTTCATTAAGAGGCAGGAGTCTGCCCGTGTGTTCCTGGCATCCGGCCCTTAGGGTCTCCCCCGCCCACCCCTCTGCCGAGGTCCGAGTCTGAGAGGGACATTCTGGGTGTGACCACAGCAACGGTGGAGGTAAAAGGGGATATTTATTATGGGAACTGGCTCCCCTGATTATGGAGGCCAAGAGGTCCTGTGGTGTCCTGTCTGTAAGCCCCATACCCAGGAAAGCCCGTGCTGTAATTCAGTCGGAGTCTGAAGTTCTGAGAACCAGGCAGCCGATGTCCGAGGCAGGAAAAGAGGGGGTGCCCAGCTCAGGCAGAGAGCAGGTCACCCTTCTATGAGTGGAAGAGTATAATCAGGGCGCCTGAAGGGGCGTGGGGGTCTGTGGAGTCTGAGCACCCCCTTATCTCTCCGCCCGAGCGGCTGCTTTCTGCTGGTGACCAAAGCAGGAAGGGGTGCTTGAGAAATCACTGGTTTCCACTTAGAAAAGCATCAAGCTTTCTTTCCAGTTTCACTTCCCTTCGGGCAACGGGATTAGTCGACCTTCTCGGAGCTCAGACAGTGGGCCTGGGACCTGGGTGACCACGCACTGTGGTGAGACAGCGTGGGTTTTCGCTTCCTGGGCCCCCCAAATGCAAGGTGGCATTCGCTGCCTGACCCTGGGTCGCTCAGGATGTCACTCCCACCCCACCCCCCTGTGCTGTGACCAGCTGAAGAGGGGCTCTCCAGGCTTAGCCCTTGCTTTCTCTGGGTTCTTTGAGATGCTACATGAAAGGGAGATGTGGGTGTCTGCCCTCCGGAAGACTCGGGACTGGTTTCCAGGGCTCTGGAAGGCGCCCCTCTCTCTTCCCCTGGATGGCAGTCACTGGGACCTGGGTTGTGTGTGCAGTGGTCAAGCACAGAGCAGGCGGCTGGCCCACCCTTGACCGCTAAGTCAGAGGTCAGCTGTGGCCCCATCCAAGGAGGTCACTGTCCCAGTTCGCGAAACCTCAGTGTTCCCTTGAAAACCCTTTACTAGTTTTTCCCATAGAGAGAACTAGAATCTTCGTCCGTTTTTATCTTTACGCTTTTTTGCGGGAGGAAGACTTGACTATTTCCCGGCCCTTCATTTTCCACACCTCAGAGTGGCAGCGGCTGGGTTTCCTTTTTATACCGTGTTGAGTCCTCCCCCTGCCCAACACTCGTCTTTTGCTCAGCTAGCATCGCACCTCTGTGCTCTGCACAAAGCAGGGACAGAGCGGGACGGCGGCGATGACCCTTCTGGCTGAGTCCAGCCGAGCCACCTTGGGCCCCTCCTCTACCCATCAGTGTCCAGACCCCAAGGTCCCAAAACCCACAACTGTTGCACATACTTTCTAAGTGGTAAGAGACATATTTAAAAATAGCGTTGCAAGTTCATGCCACCCCTGGGTTTTCATGGTATTATTTTGCTCAGAATTAGCAACTGCTGGGATCTGAGTCACTGGCCAACCCAAGGGGGTTCAAAGGTCAAGGCACTGCATCCGGTCTAGCCAGAAGTTCTAGGAACCGGATCTGTCTGCTTCTCAGGGAAGGTATGCGGAGGACAGGTAGCAGAATTTTTCACCCCATCGCGAGGCTGTGGAGGGAGGTAAAAGTTGTCCAAGCCTCAGGTTACTTTGTTACTTTAAAGTAAGCTTCCCAAGTGTGTCCTTAGCAACATTTTCATTGCCACTTCCTGCCAAGGTAACAGAATGTCCCCAACCTCTGCTCCTACCAGGACACACAGGAGTTTCCCTCCCAGCAAAGCTAGTGGCCGGCCAAGTACAATCAGAGACACTACACTGCCAGGTGTGAAGACAAATGTTTCCACTGTGGGGGCCTGTGCACCTCCATTAGCGGCGATGTGCCAGTCCGGGAACGGAGCCTCTACAGTGGGTGGTTTTCAGTGGCCCCTGAGAAGCAGGGGATGCATTTGGACCCTCTCCAGGGAACTGGGGCCAGCCTGGTGCCATCCAGGTAACCGGCATCTGGCAGGGCCCTGGCACCCACCCGAGGGCGGCGCAGGAACTCCAGCAAGTTTGGGCACCAGAGATGCCAGCACCTGCTATGTATTAGGTGCCCACTGTGTTCTGGACGGTCACCCACCTGCTAACCCTCCCACAGCCCTGAGGGTTAGGGAGTGTTTTCCTCATCACAGGGGCGGGGAAGCTACAACCCTGGGAAGCTAGCCACCCGGCCCTGCAGCTCCTCGGGACAGAGCCGCGATGTGGTCATACACTTGGGGACCTCCCGGCCTGTGTTCGGACGCTGTGTCCCTCACTTTCCCTTACCAAGCGATGGACCCGTGCGGCCCTGCGGCCTTTAGAGCATCGTGGAATTCGCCTCTGGGTTCCTGCCGTGGTTTGAACAGCCCTTGATCCTTGCCGAGGGAGGAAAAGGCTGCTTCGGACCAATTTACATACGTTTGCAGGGCCCATCCCCCCTTCCCCAGGTTTTCTGGGCCTTGACAATGTTCTGGTAATTTTCTGATCCTGCCAGGGAGGGCCTGCTAGGAGGGGAGCTGCTGCTCTGAGTGCCCTTGGCCAGGAAAGGGCCTGCCTCCCAGCAAAGGGCCTGCCCCCAGGAACCCCCTCCTGTGCTGAGTGGCATCAAAGGGGGTGCAGAGGAGGGGTCCCTCAGGCAGCCTTGGGGGCCACTGAAGGGGCAGATGGCCACACAGCAAACACAGAATCTCCCCACTGCCTCCTGCCTTTGCTCTGATGAGCAGCACACGGTTCATCCCAGGAAGGCGGCGCTGAGACCCCAGTGGCTCCCCGCCTTGGGCCCTTGGGTGCTGGAACGGAGAGACTGTCCCTTCCCTGTGTTCTTCCCGGAGAAACTGCACGCGGGGGCACACCGGAAGCCCAGTGTGCAGAACGGACAAGGAGTCAGGCGATGGGGCCCATGGCCCCAGCTCCTTGGAAGGTGGCCGCCAGGACGGGAGATTAGGGACAGTGGAAAGCCCTTGTCCTCAAAGTCTGAACTGCAGTCCTGACGGTGTCCGCTGTGGGGTCCCCAGCTGCAGTCACCTGACAGCCCCATTCATGGGCACAGCAGGAGCTTGTGGGCCTCAGACCCCTGCCAGGCCTTCCTTGCACTGTCAGTTACACCCCGGGGCCCCCCTGGTCCCTTGGCTCCCTGCTGCCTTTGTCCAGAGGGAGACAGGAGGGCGGGCATGAGGAGAAGCCAGGCATTTTGCCGGACACTCTCTGCCCTGGGCCATCTCCAATGTCATCTGCGTTTCCTTGGCTAAAGCTGCCACAGGACACACTTTGAATGTTACCAGCTTCCACTGGGGACCCAGCAACTAGGGGTCCTGCCCACCCAGGGGTCTGAGGAGGGCCTTCCTGCAGCCACTAATCACAGGGCTGTCCCATCACCCACAGAGCAATTACTTTCAGTCCCTCTTCTCAGATACTAGGGTCCTGGCTGTCCCCACTGCGCACGTCCATGCGCGGGCCTTCCTCAGAATCACCCTTAGACACTCCCGTTTCACGAAGGAGGACACTGAGCTCGGAGGTGAGAAGGACTTGCTCAGGGTCACGCAGCAGGAGGCGTGGAGCCAGAACTCGGACCCCGGCCGTGCGGAGCCAGCTGAGCCGGGTCCTGCTTTCTCACTGTGTGCAGGGACCATGACCTCTCTGAGACTCGGTTCCCGTCCCTGCAAGGAGCCAGCACGCACTGTGTCGTGGCAGAGTTTGCAGGGTCAGAGGAGTCTGTGAGCAGGCTGGCACCCCCATGCCTCCATCTGGGAGGCCCCACTGAGTGGGGGACCCATCTCGTCACCTGGTCTCAGTGGCTGCCGGCGCGTGTCGCTGCTGTGTTTTCCTGTGCCTTCCAGAGTCAGCACGGAGTGGGAGCGGCCCCTGCATGTGGGTGAGCGGGGGGTGCTCGTGGCACCACGCAGGCTGTGTGGGCACCCCGGGATGGGGAGCAAAAACGAACTATTTTGGGAGGGGTGTCAGTGTGCTTAGTGGCTCCTACAGGTGTGGTTCTGAAGCTGCCTTGGTGGTGTTTGTGCTTTGATTGTTCCTTGAAGCTTGTTGGAGTGGTCGCGGCCGCTCTGAGCCCTTCTCCAGGACAGCGAGGCCCCTGCGACAGGAGACAAACCCGCACACATGACACTAACGCCGTCTTTTGGACACAGGGATGGGCCAGTCCTTACCTTGCAACCCAGCGTGTGGGCTCAAGAGAGGACACGGAAAACCACATTGTTCTTTCGCCGAAATCACAGAACATTAGGGTCAGAAAAACCATAAAACATCTTCGGGGGTAGAATAAGTTTCCATTTTACAGAGAAGTCAAGGCTTAAATCGGTTGAGGGACTCAGGGTTGGTGGCAGAGCCGAGCCCTCGAGCTGGCGGAGCTGCTCACCTACTGGTCAGATGGCTGGGGGACAGGGGCTGGGGCCGGGCCCACGCAGAGGTTTGTCCCTCGCCACACCCCAGCAGGGCATTTGGGAACCAGGTCAGGGACACTGCCGGGGCATTTGGACAGTCCCAATTTACTGCGGTGGCCACAGACATGGGCTTGGGATAGCTATTCCTTTCGGTAAATATTTTGCCCATAAATATCTTGGTTTTGTTTACTGGGTCGTCTGGCACATAATAGCATGCATTATTAATAGAACAGCTCAATTCTATCTATTAAACAGGCATACTCTGCGATGTAAAACGCACCTCTTTGACAAGGTGCTTGTGAGACCACGTGGGAGCGGCGCGTGCTTAGAATACAGTGGGGTCCCCGTGCACATAAAGGCGGGGCTTCTCTGGGACAACCCCTGGGCTGGGGGTGGGTGCAGAAGCAGGTCTCTAAGGGGTGTGGTCTCCCAGACCCCTCTCTGTGTGAGGGCTTTGCACAGGGTGAGCGTGTGGTACTGAAACCCTTATTCTCCCCCACTGCCCAAGTTTGCCCGTTACCTCCAGTGGTGAGTCACGGAGATTTCATCTGCCACCCGCGGCCTTGTGACCGCTACAACCACGGAACCGTGGTGGAGTTCTACTGCGACCCCGGCTACAGCCTCACCAGCGACTACAAGTACATCACCTGCCAGTACGGGGAGTGGTTTCCTTCCTATCAAGTCTACTGCATCAAGTCAGGTGAGGCGCCCAGGGCCCCCCGGCCGAGGTCCAGGTCCCCAGAAGGGATATCGTGGGTAAGACGTGCTCTCATTTACACAGACGTAAGTGCTTCCTAGTTAATAACAGTTCCTAGCAAACCAACCTCGGGTCTCAGGGCACCAGGGTACTGACCCCACGACAGAGACCTGAGCACCAGCGACACCCGCCCATCGCCTGCTGTCTTCCAGGCCTGCCCGTGGCCGCCAGCCCGGAGCGGGGGCGGCTGCACACTCCCCAGGCACAGCCTGTGAGGGGAGATTTGTTAACACGGGCACCTGGGCACTCGAACCAGCCAGAGGGGGCAAGTAGGGCTGCTTCGGAGCAAGGTGAAGGGGAGGCAGAGGAGTAGCAGCCACAGAGGGTGAAACATAGCACAGGCCGGGTCCACAGGCAGGACTCTGCTTCGGAAGCTTGGGCCCTTGCCTCCCCTTACTGCAGACGGGCGGCCACGGAGAGCCGCCCCCTCCGGCCCTCCGTGCCTGTCCTCACCCGCCCCCAGCCTAGTCCAGAGCACTCCCGAAGGCCTTGGCTCAGCTCCCCTGGCCCTCGCTCCTGGTCCCTGGCAGGACATGACTTCCCCAGGGGAGGGACCCCCTTCCATTCTCTGCCGGGAAGCAGGTCCTCAGCCCGTGCTGGAATGAGGACATGCAGGTCGTCCTCCAGCCTGGCAGAGACCCCACTGGAGCTGGGTTTAGTGCTGGGGATTCTGATGCCAGGTGACACGACCCGGCCTGGGGGGCACCCAGAGGCCCTCGGTGAGTGGCTCCCGGCCAGACCCGTGCAGCTAATGGGCACCTGGGAACCTTCACCCCGTTACAGTCCGGGAACCTCACCTGCCTCTTTGTTCTCTCTCTCTCCCTTTCTCTCCCTCTCTCTCTCTCTCTCTCTCTTTCTCTCTCTCTCTCAGCAGAGCAAACGTGGCCCAACACCCATGAGACCCTCCTGACCACGTGGAAGATCGTGGCATTCACGGCGACCAGCGTGTTGCTGGTGCTGCTGCTCGTCATCCTGGCCAGGATGTTCCAGACCAAGTTCAAGGCCCACTTTCCCCCCAGGTCAGTGCCGCCCACGGCCGCGGTCGGGCTCGGGCAGCCAGCTGGAGCCGCAGGGAGGGGAGGGTGAGCTGGACCCCGCTGAGTGCAGAGTCCAGGGTCTCGGGAGAGCACAGGGAGAGCGGCACACTTCCCTGGGATGTTTCGGGTGCCTGGTGATCAGAGCAGCAAGCTGGAGACAGACCTCATTTCCCTTTCACCCCCCAGAGCCCCCTGTGAGCCTGTGTCTCCCCTATTCCCGGATGGAGTTTCCCAGAGGCACTTAGAGGCGTGAGTGGAGGCTACACCCACGCCTGACCCCAGGGGCACTTTGTCCATTGCCGCCGATGCCCCTGTGGCCCCGGAGTGACGGCCCCTGGAGCTTCCGGTCCACGGGGAGGACAGGGAATGCACAGAGCTGATTAGGAGGCAGGGTCAAAGGTGTGTGACCCGACAGAGCTCCACAGACAGTCTGGTGAGAAGTCTCAGGAAAGGAGTCTGAATGGGGGTCAGGACCCAGCTCATGAGACTCTGCCTCAGGTGGCACCTGAGCAGGAGGGCGGGGCCTGTGCAGGGCGCTGCCCCTCCTCCTCGGCTGCACAGAGGATCTGGTTGGTGTCTTCATCCTCCCAGCCGTCATCCCTGTGAGGAGATTGTCACGCTCCCTCACAGGCTGTTCTGGCCCCAGCGCCTTTGAACGCCACCAGCACCCTTTGGGACAAAGAAGTGCCCCTAGCCCTGCTGCGGGCACATCACTGTTCTGGAAAAAGCCATTAGAAAGCAAAGATAGCCCGGCCGGTGTGGCTCGGTGTATTGATCGTCATCCCAAGCACCAAGAAGTCCCGGTTCAATCCCCAGTCAGGGCACATGCCTGGGTTTCAGGCTCTATCCCCAGTAGGGGGCGTGCAGGAGGCAGCCGATGTTTCTGCCTCTCTCCTCCCTTCCTCTCTCTCTAAAATCAATAAAAATATATTTTTAAAAAAGAAAAGAAGAGGAAAGCAAAGCAATGGGCTTATGAACATTAGAAGGAGGGCAGGACACCCAACGTCACAGGACACCAGCCAGGGCTCACGGACACAGCGGCCTGTCACTGAGGAGTCATCACTTCCTTGGATTCTGTACTCATGTCATCTTCTTTTGGGACCTCATGCATCAAAAAAGGACACTCGAGCCCTGGCCTGTTTGGCTCAGCAGTTGGAGCATCGGCCTGCGGACCAGAGTCCTGGGTTCAGTTCCCGCTAGGGGCACGTACCAAAAAAAAAAAAAGGACACTCATTTTTGTCCACAGGGACAGACGGACCCCCAGGGTGGTGCCTGATGGACAAGGGGCTGCCGTGTGCTCGGGGTGGGGCCACCTGCGCCCCCAACAGGCCCAGAATGGTCACTGCCGTTCTGGGGCCCAAGCCAAGCTTCACTGGTGTTCCAGAACCTTCTCCTCTCAGACCTGCCATCCACTCCCTCCGTCCTGAGCATTATTATTTATGAATCAGGGACCCTGCTCCATCACTAAGCAATTACACCATCTACCAAAGGCCTGAGGATTACAACGAGAAAGCTAAATACGGTGACCATACGGTGGTTTATGGTACAGTGGAGTCCGTAAAAGTGGCCCATAGAGCTATGTTTCTACATAGGCTTGCAAGAAAAGTTATATCGACCAAATATTAAGATTTTTAAAAAATGCTCCCCAAAACTCACTTGATTTTTTAATCCCTCGAGTAATTTCATCTGATATTATGTTCTAATTGTGTTGGGAAAGTTGGGCTCATCTATCCAAGTAGATGATAAGATTCTCAAGGGCAAGACCAGAAGGGTTTTTTCTCCAGGTCCCATAGGTGTAGACACTGAGGAGATGCTTGACGGCTGAGTCTGGGAGCTGAGTGCGTTGCTGGGACACCGTAAGTCAGCCAGTCCGGTTGCTTCAGGAGGACCGGAGCAGAGACTGAGCGGTGCCCGGGGCTCTGGCCCCATCTGGACTCAGATCCACTGGGCTCTGCTGGCTGATGAGCTGCAGAGGGGCAGGGCCAGGAGCTGCGTGGGCGCCACGTGAGGGACGGCCTACAGAGACAGCAGACCGCCTGGCTCTCCCGTGATCCCTCGGGGCGGGCAGCACGCTGCGGCTTCTGCTCAAGCGGCGCTGGGGTAGGAGGTGGAAGTATGTCCACCATGACTCAGGTGGTGAGGGTACTCCGAGCGCTCCATTTTCTTCCCTGTTGCTGTTTCTCTATCCTGACTAAAAATGAGTGATTTCGATACTGTAACAGGAAGCAAAAAAGCATAAGAATCACAGGGGCGAGCCTTTCCTGTGGGCAGCTAGGGTCCCAGGTTCCCTATACTCTTTTGTTGTTGTTAATCCTCCCCTGAGGATATTTTTTCCATTGATTTTTAGAGAGAGTGGAGGGAGAGAAACATTGATGTGTGAGAGACACATTGATTGGTTGCCTCCCTCCCGCACACGCCCTGATCAGGGTGGGGATCAAACCCGCAACCCAGGTCCATACCTGCGACTGGGAATCAAACCCAAGACCCTTTGGTGCTCAGGCCGATGTTCTAACCACTGAGCACACTGGCCAGGGCCCAAGTTCCCTATACTGTTAACGGTGTTGTTCTGTCTCTAGTGGCCTTCCCAAGGGACGCCCCGCCCCCCAGAGGCACCCTGATGCTCCATTGGAAGGGGCCACATGGTCCCCTGCCCACAAGGTTGTGGCCATAAGGCCGAGCCCAGAGATCAAAGGGGAGGAAGGCAGCGTCAGAAGAGATCGGAGGGGACGGGCAGGAGGGCACAGGACATTAGGAGGAGAAACCTCTGCTCCTGAGTGGCCATGGCGACAGCACCCCCTGCCAGAGGGAGGCCCAGATGGGAGGCTGGTTCTCTGCACCACATCCGTGCAGCTCTGCTGCCCATCGTGGGCCTCAGCTGCGGGCGGGGGCGGGGGGTGCTGGTGGGTTCATTCCTGGGGTGGTGTGTTGCTCTGACACGTTGGCACTGCTTTTCTTTGCACAGGGGGCCTCCCAGGAGTTCCAGCAGCGACCCTGACTTCGTGGTGGTGGACGGTGTGCCTGTCATGCTCCCGTCCTACGACGAGGCCGTGAGTGGCGGCTTGAGTGCCTTAGGCCCCGGGTACCTGGCCTCTGTGGGCCAGGGCTGCCCCTTACCCGTGGATGACCAGAGCCCCCCAGCATACCCCGGCTCCGGGGACACGGACACAGGCCCCGGGGAGTCAGAAACCTGTGACAGCGTCTCAGGCTCCTCCGAGCTGCTCCAGAGTCTATATGCATCTCCCATGTGCCAAGCAGGCACCCGCCCCGCTCCCGACAACCCTGACACAGTTGCCAGCACCGCGGGGGAGGTAGCATCCACCAGCCCAGGCATCGACATTGCAGATGGTAAGTGTTTGCCCCCAGGCCCGAGCTCCCTGGCACACCCCCCCGCACCCAGCACCCAGTCTCTTGGAGCCATCACAGAGCCGAATCCGTCTGTTTCCCTCTCACTCAGCTTACAGTGCTTCTTGCTCTCTCTGCGTGTAGAAGCCATGGGCCAGGCCAATTAGTAGAAGGAGTGATCATCATCTCCCAAGTGATGAGCCCATTAACAGAAATTTCAGGGGGCACGCAAGGGCACCGAGCCATCCAGAGCAGAGAGGCGCCAGTGGCCGGTGCTTGGTTTCCATAGCATCTTTATGGTCCAGGATGCTTTTCCCCTGTATCCCTGGAGTAGGCAGGACTTCTGAGAGCGGTGCCTAGGATGAGGGTAACACCCACGCGTGCCAGCAGGGAAGACCCGACCCGTGCAGTCGGGCCTGGTCCCGGGGAAGTTCTGTGTGCACACAGGTTATTTTTCCCAGGTGAAATAGGATATGTATGGGCTGTTTTCCCAGGGGAGGGGGCACCAGTCCACTTTGCAAATGAGGCACTAATTCCAGCTGCAGCGACAGTGAGTGGCAGTAACGATGCGGAAATGGGGGTCTCCTGGTTCCCACCAAGTTCCTTTTCTGCAGCTCCTGCTGCCTCTCGGCCCCTGAATCTGTTGCCTCTTGGTGGGGTCGTTAGGACAGGTGGTTAACATATAACATGTTCGTTTTATGAGCTGGGTCTGACATCTCACAGCCAACAGATGTTATACAGAGGAGTTGGTTTTTTAAATTATTATTATTAACGGATATGTGGAACTTAACATTTTCTTCTCCTCCCTGATTTCAGGAGTTGTAGATATTCTAATAAAGCTTATAATCACAGGGCATGGGGGGTGTTTTCAGTGTACGAAATAATAACCATGTCTTCTGCAGAGATCCCACTGATGGAAGAGGATCCGTAGCCAGGCCAAGTCCCGATGCTTCTACTACCCCTTCGGGAACGGAACCTTGCGCCTTGGAGTGAGGCCACAGAAGGACAAGCGTGGGGATGGTGTCGTGTGCTCATTTGTCTACACAGGGACAGTGACCATACATCATGGACTCCATTGTGGGTGCCAAACACTGACAGACTAGGGTGGCGGATCTTTTAAATGGGACCTGAGGATTTGCCAAGACCAATGGGAAACAAGGAGATGAGGGGAACCCCCGTGTGGGCCCGGATGAAGGTGTCAAGTGAGCTTTGTACGGGGGAACAAGAGACAGTGCGCTGAATCCCGAGTCCCATTGACTTCCGTCATGAATACTACCTGTGTCCTCTGAAAGCATGTCACATTATGTAAATTTGCTTCCAAAATCTGCTTCAAACTGTCTCTGGAGTCCAGGTTAGGCTGGATCAGCCTCTGCGGGAAGTCTGGCTTGAGCTGCTGGGAGAGCAGCAGAGCGCCCCCTGGAGGCTCCCCAAGGGAAGGTGCTCCCACGACTTTCGGACAAACTTGCTGGATGTGGACCCCTTCAGCTCAGAGCAAGACGAGAGCGGGATGCGGCCGTCCCTGCGGGAATGGAAAGGCTCAGGCGGACTCTGCTTTCTGGAAACGTTTTCGAGAAGCGGAGCTCATGTACTCCGTGCTGTCCTTTGGTGAAATAGCGTCAGTATTTGTGTTCATGGGTCCATGGCCTTGGATAGATCCTGTGGCTTTACTAATGGTCAGAATGTGTTCAAATACATCTCATGGTGGAGAAAGTCACCAAGGTAATGTTCATTTCGGCATTTTAAAAAGATTCCACTTGACAATTTATCTTGGTCATGAGCCCTCTCTAGTCAACTATCATGAGTGGCCCTCACTCCCAAACTCAGCCATATTTTATTTTCCGAAACAGAAATTGTTCCTGTAAACACATTCCTCCTCCAAATAAAGTATGAGGTTGGATTTATTTTGTTTTTCCCTTTTCTTTTGTCCTGAGAAGTCGCAGGGGGCCTCCCTGCCAGGGCCACTGGCTGCCCTGCCCCCCCAATCCTGCATTCCTACAGCGGGGGGACCCCCACCCCGGGCCCACTGGGTGCTGTTCCTAAGAAAATAATTGATAACACAGGCCCCCAAGTCCTGAAGTATCTCTTCCAATACATGATATGTGGAGCTGCTTCCTCTCCTCTGGGTTTCAAATCAACAAAACTGATCCACAAAGTCACGCCGATGGAGCCCTGTGAGCCGGAGGCGTGGTCACATCCTGTTTTCCCTTGACACCGACTGATTAAAAATTAAAAAGAAAATGTCAGTTTGAAGCGTGACTTTAATAGTGAGTGGAGTCGGGTGGGCAGAGGGGCAGAGACAGTGACCGTGGGTGACGGAGAAGACGTTTCGGACGAGAGCCGGAGGCCCAGCCCGGTACCCGGGCAGTGAGTGGCCGTGCCGGCAGCACCCAGGTGCTGGGCATGTGGGTAGCAGTGTTTAGTGATTATAACTGTTCGTGGATGGCCTCACCTGCCCTGGCACAGCTCTGGGCTCCGCACCCCTTGAAGGAGGTGGCTTTCATGTCACCTGGCCCGCTCACAAGGAGACGCCATGGTGGCTGGATTGGAGTAGGGGCATCCAGGGCTCACTTTGGGCCACCTCCCCCAGGCAGCCTTCCCAGCATGCCTCCCAGGCCAGGTCTCCCCTCTTCTCCATGCCGACCCCTGCCCTCCCTCCTGTGCCCCCTAAATGGAAGGCGTGTCTCAGAGGCCACCAGGTAAGTCCCTCATCTCCCACCAGACAGGCGGGAAGAGGCTTGTGAGGCTGTCCCCGGGCCTGGCCTCAACTCCTTCCAGAGACTGTTCTCCACCCCAAAGTAGACCTGCAGCGCCTCACCTGTGAGCCGAGTGTCCGCGGTGCCTGTCTCGCCCCACACCTGGGAGGCAGGTGCACACGCGTCCAGGGCTCCTGGCAGCCTTGTTCTAAGAATCGAGGCGGGTGGGAAGGACAGAGCTGCTTGGTGGCCCATCAGACAGTGTCTAACCAGATCAGGGCCCTCCCCTCGGTTCCTATGGTTTGTGGCCACATCGGCGTCTCACGCCCAAAATTTATTTCCGGTGATTTATTTATTTTTCATTAGAGTGGGCTGAGGGGGCAGGAAAGGCCCCTCAGGATGCCCTAAGCAGGTCTTGATTCTGATGTTTTCATTTCCAAGCCCCGGGAGACCCCGTCGGTCTGAACGTCTCTCTCCCAGTGTCTCAGGAATGAGTAGGGGTGAGAACACCGGCTGAGCTGGGAGTGGTCCCCAGAGGAGTGGTGTGGAGAGAACTCTGCTCCCAGGTGCGTCCTGCCCTGGGGAGGGACCTAACCCGGAGCGTGTCTGCCCGGGGGCGTTTCAGGGACCCCAGAGCACCAGGCTTCAGGCTGACGTGCTCCCTCCCCTCACGAGCACAGAAGTGCAGGACATCGTCCCACTTTGCGTCCATGTAGCTATTTTTGATTGCAAGGCTGTGGCTTGCTGGTGTGGGTTCCTGAGAGCCACTGCAACCTAATGACAGCTGTCCCAGCAGCTGGCACCCGGGCAGCCCGCCTCCTTTCCCTGCAGGGTTGTGCCCGGGACACACAGCAGGCCAGGCCAGTGGGCATCAGGTGCAAAGGCTCAACGGCCACCCCTGCTGGGTCCAGCACCCCTCTGCTCCTCTGCTCCCTCCCCCGACGCCAGGCAGTGCCGGGCAGCCCTCCCTGCCTGGCCTGGATCCCTGTGCATCGCTACGGAGGCAGCGGCACAGCTAGGGAGAGCCTGAGCTGGCAATGGGCGACACCTGGCTTCACAACCCCACTGACGGGGTGTCCGTGGACGGGGACTAGCCCTCCCTGGGCCTCAGTCTCTTCCTGCAGAAATGGGAGGTGATGCCCCTCCACCTTCCTCGCGGGGGCCGGTGTAAGTCACAGTGTGCAGTAGGCACTGATAAGTGGCAGCTGCTCTCCACTTGCTGCCCAGTGAGGGAGGGTGCCGGGTGGGCGATTAGTTCAACATGCGTCCCTAGGCACCTTTGACCTGCCTTCGTCCCTGCCACCCTCTGACAGGTTTGCAGGCAAAGCTTGTTTGGGGCCACCACAAGCGGATGGACTCAACTGAGCTCTGCCCGGTCCCCTCGGACCTCTCCCCAGGAGCCCCGTCCTGGCTTCTGTGTGCTAAGCTTTCCGGGCAGAGGGAGTGTCCATCCGTGGCCCGGGCCCTCCGCCCTCCCTGAGTGCCAGGCTGTCCTGCTCAGGGAGGCTGGACAACCTCAGAGATTCCCCCAGGACTCGGAGGACACAGTTCACCTCCACAGGCCCTGGAGAGGAACACCCACCGGCTTCCCTACCTTCACTGTCAGTTTGGGATTTAATGCGTGAAAGGTGACGCCCGTGCGTTTCCAAAGCGGTAAAGAGGCGGGCCCGCGGACACCCCGCCGGCCTGGCAGAAGGGGCCGGGGAGCAGCAGTCACTGATCAGGGAGGAGGGCAGAGCTGGGCAGGCTGGCACTGAAGTCACGAAACCGAACCAGAGCGTGGGCATCAGCGCCGCCGTGCTTCACTGCCCCGGCAGAAACCAGGCCTGGGCGCAGGGCACTGTGACGGCCCCCATACCCGAGTAGGAGCCTCATCCGCGTGTTCGGAGCCTCCGGGGTCCCTGGTCCTTGGTCCTCCAGGGCTGTGGGATAACGAAACCAGACGCCAGCAGAGGTGTACTGGGTTTGGGGCCGGGGGCTGGGGTGGACCCTACGGGAATAACGAGGCTGACTGTCCCTGCCTGGGTCCTACAGGAAATAGTTACAGACCCGGTTCCCGTTGGTGGTCACTGGGCGCCTGCTGTGTGCCGGGCCGACTGTGTTCTCCAGTCCAGCGCGGTGAGGCCTGGTGAGCAGACAGCTGCAGACTGGGAGCCGCAAAGCTCAGGGCCCGGGAGGAAATATCTGCTCAGTGGCCCCATCAGACAGTGTCTGACCAGATCGGGGTCCTCCTGCACCTCCAGACACCCCCAGGCCCAGGCTCAGGGGATGAGCCCTCAGCCACTGACAGCTGAGCTTGGAGCAGGAGGCCTGGGGGTGTCTGGAGGTGCAGGAGAGCTGGGGGTGGGGGTGGGGATTGGGAAACGGACAGATGTTCTGTGCTTTGGGGCCTCGAGGCTCCGGGTACAGAGCAGGAGAGGGGAGGGGAGGGAGGGGAAGGGAGGGCGGCCAGGGGGGACAGATGGAGCTGGAGGGGTGAGGCAGGGCCAGAGCCTCGGCCGGGGTGCCATGTTCAGGAGCTAAGTGTCACCTTGAGAGTGAGAGGCCACTGGGGGGCATGGAGACGCGAGCAGGAGAGAGCTGCTCTGCCATCTTGATTTTGTGGAGCAGGAGCCAGGAGTCAGTGACACCCAGACACCACTGGGGCTGTCACCGGGTCTCTGGGGGACCCCTCCAGGCCCCGGGGTCCTCATCAGTGCAGTAAGAGGACACAAGTCGTCTCAAGATGATTCCCAGCTCTGACGGGGTGCAAATTCTCTCTCCTCGCTTTAAAAACATTCCGAGTCAAATACCTGCTTCTTCTGTCCCCACCTACAGTGTGTGACACTCCTCCCAGACCCTTCCCCCGCTGAGGCTCAGGAGCACCCCCGGCCCACACCCCTGTAGGATGAGGGTGGGGACAAGGAATACCAGCCACAGCAGTTCTGGCCTCCGTGGCAGGTCCCTCGACCCCGTGGCCAGAGGGGTGGATGTCAGCAGCACCTCCTGGAGCCCAGCAAATCCAGGAGGGTGAGTTTGCCCGAACTGAGTAGCACGTCCTGTCCTGTGAAGGCGTGGGCCCCTCCTGGGTATGTCGTGGGGTGGGGGTGTCACGGGAGCAGAGTCCCTCCGGGAAGCCACCTGCAGGCCTTCCCCTCGGACACGCCCACACTGTCCAAAGGGCAAAGCCATAAGGAAGAAGGAGTTGGCCTGGCTCAGCAAAGTGGTCTTTGTTCATTTACGGCCGTGCGGTGGTTTGTGTCCTCCGCCGCCTCTGTCTGCGGGCTGATAAGCCCCGTCAGGCACCGAGGCAGGGCTTGGCTAACGAACCCCGAATCCACGAGTCCGCAGGTCACAGCCCACCTTCTGCACTGTGGTCC